TCCTAATTCTATAAATTAGTGTAATTTCATGAAAGCAAACCTCGGAATGACCTCAAACACCGGTCACATAGAGTCATAGACTACATATATAGGGTTGAAAATGTTCGGTTTGTTTTGCGATGTCAACGACGGACGCAGAGTCAGACTCGCAATATTCTCAATGGTGCCCCAATAAGTCAAGTTTCGAGAATGTATATTCAAGGAAACCGACCATAAAGAGGGAAAAGTGCTTATACTTGGCCAAGTGGCACAAGAGACGCCAACGAGCGATATTCAAGGCGCCGAGCAACGAGCAACGCAAAGTTTCCCCATACTACCGATTTACCCCGCCGAAATGCCAAATGCACGGCATCGCAAATGTGCAAACTAAAGCAGTAATAAGACGTTTTCCACAGGCCGGGCTCCACATAATATGTCAACTCCAGATACGACTAACGATCCATCGGTCCCGCCGGGGGGTGAAGCCAGGCTGGCAGCATCAAGCAAGAAGTTCATATCCAGCGCAGTTATTGAATTAAGCCCGGAGAGCAACATCCATTGCTTGCTGCCTGTCGACGATTGCACGACACATCAAAGCCCGGCTGTCGTGGCAGCTGCTCGACACTCTCGGGGAAGAATGATAAAATAATAAGCGTCCTGCTCGGCCGCCGCCTCGAGGGAGCCGCCGCAAAAGCAACCCCTCTCTCCGTTCATCAACTTCGCAAATGAGCAGTCTTTGTTTCCAAATTAGCCCGCGTTTCAACAAAACTTTCTGCACGCAATATTAAGCCTTATAATAACGATCAGACCTTCGTTCGGAATGCCTCCTGATTCCTGATGCACTCAAGACCCTCAATTGCGGATCGCTTGAAATAATCATCACCGGCTCTGAGTATAACTTCCACCCCAACGTTAAAATCCAGTTTCGATTCATGCCTGAATACAGGTGGACTCTCACTACAACGAATTAAAAAGAACCTGAAGAAATTTTTCGTAGAGAACCCCTATAGCGTGGGGAGAGAGTCCTATGGGACCCAAAATTATATTATTGTTATATACAGAGAACTCGTTGTACACAAGATAATTCTAGAGTCAACAAGGGATATTATAATGTAGTATTGTATGCTACATCCGTTCACGCTTTCTGGAATAAAGCACGGTACAAATACAAATAACAGCGATTCGCAAAAAAAAAGAAGAATTGATTCAGATGCTATGATTCTTACAAGTGGATCAAACTATTTTCCTCAGCTTATCGCGTATTTCGTCTTTTTTGTTTTTTGTTCTCCTTCAGAATACAGTCATAGAATGTAGAGATGATAAATTGTGCATTCAAAACATCAGATGAGTTTTTTCGTGCAATTTTAGTTTCGGAAGTTGTTGAGGAAGAACTTACCTTAACATAAATATGTTTAATTTTGCAAGTGGATCAATAAATTGGTAAAGTAAAGTACAAAGATGTTGAAATAAAAAGCAGAATCAGCCTGGGACAAGGCCGGGGAACCTTTTTTGGTTTCCCTAGTTTAAATTAGAGGAATATATTTCGATTTTTGTCCCACAAAGATATACAGTACACAATTATTAGATTTTTAAACAACACAACACTCAACAGAACTCCACCGAAATTCGTAGATTTCGCAATGTACACACTCCAAAAGTTTGATGACTAGTGGCTTCGGTAAAATTTGTTCTCCGGAGAATTCGAGGGGGAAACGGAAATTGGTTTCTGGTTTTCTTTTGTTGAATTGCTGTTGTCCTTGATGAGTTCCTTCCCTTTGAGGGTTGGAACTCTGATCAGATTTCGCTATTTTATTATAATCTAAATTTTGCATTGTTTGGCGTGCGGCGGTTTCCCAACAGAAGTCGAGCCCTTGGAAACTTCATACCGAGAGTTTAATGGTCCAATAACCATCCAATCACTTGATCAGCTTACAAAGAAGTTTTTGTTTTAACACTTTTTGCTATTCGACATTTTAATTGGGAATCAATGGGGAAAAAAACTTAAATCCGCTTACCGTATATTTGCGAAGTCCCGTTGAGCCAGGAAACCTTAGGAACGGGTTTTCCGCCCCGAGATTCGCAGCGAAGGGAGATTTCAGTTCCTTCTTTGAAAGGACCGACCTTCGACCCATTCTTCAAGATCCCCACACCATCCAAGAGCAAGATCGGCGGCTGCGGCTTAGCTGAAAATGTTCAAAGGAATCATTAATAAAACGTTCATTGATTATATTGGCCGGGAAGACGCCGGAATTTCCTGATGCGCCGCCGCATTTCCATCAATCGGAATGTCATTTGTGGTAGCTGAAAGCTTAACGCTCTGATCTCATCTCGCGAGAGACCCGAGGGGACTGAATCGAATCGAGAAAGCCGCGGATTGGAATTATTCAATCCGCATCTGCCACGCATTTCCGTGATTTGAAAGCATATATACCTTTGACATCCTCTGTCCGAGGACGACGAATCAGATTGAGCGAGATGGTCGTTATTTGTGTATGGGGGGTCGAAGCATAAAAACGGAGCACCGCGGAATCGGTACTTGTGACAGCATGAGTACCGATTCCCATGGCGAGACGGCCTCTACCAAATATTTGCACAGCTGGGAATATCCCAAAGTACACAAGAATCAAATCTTCCTGGCCAAAACATGAAAGGGGTTTATCGTAAGATATAAAACCCTCTGGAGAAGTTTAGGGCGCTCATCTGCGCGTTTTTCGTTGTTTGGTACGCAGTTCCCATAAAAGTACTGCTTACGTTGAAAAGAAGCGTTTTTTATGACGTGCGCAAATGCCATTTTACCTTAAGAAACGGATCTCGTCATAAATCATTTTCCGTGTATCAAAATTGTAATGTGTCCCTGCTGCAGTTCATTCGTTGGAACCATGTGGTACAAATCTTGTTTTAACAAACGTATCTTCACCAATAATCTCAGCATAACAAAATAAATGTTGCTCCGATTTTGTACATGGTTCAAAGGAAGTACTGGTTAATTGACAGAAAATTAGAAGGATTTCAATCAGTGCAAAACAATAACTTCACCAAAACGCGATGCTTTTCAAAATGAACTTTAGCATTGCAGAAATAATTGAGATGTTCGTAGAATTTTTAAAACTTTGCATGAGAATTTGACAATGGCTCCTTTCGGTTGAAAAAAAACAATGTGATGGGAAGAATATTCATCCATTAAAAAAAATTCCGGCGTGAAAGACTTTGGAAAGTACTTTACAGTATATACACATACGTTTTATAGTTGCATTGTATTTTTTAAAAATACTACATAACATCATTGAAATTAGAAGCAACGAAAATTTAAATTTAGAGAAGTTCACTTCGTGTGTTCATCTCAATTACATCGATGAGTTGAAAATGACTACGTCTTGAATAATCTATTGCAGAGGAACTAAGGAGCATTCATTACAAATTTCTAACAACAAATCAGTGCTAAGAGTGAATAAAAACATGAGTTTCAATTCAATTACATCGATGAGTTGAAAATGACTACGTCTTGAATAATCTATTGCAGAGGAACTAAGGAGCATTCATTACAAATTTCTAACAACAAATCAGTGCTAAGAGTGAATAAAAACATGAGTTTCAAGATTTTATCGATATTTTAATACTATTCAACGGATGCATGCTTCCGCTTCGGTTTCTAAAAATAAATACGCAGGATATTGAAACAGCAAATGATTGAAATTCAATTAATTGTGATCATATTCTTCAATTGAAAATCGGAACCGGGAAATACTGTGTATAAAAAAAATAAAACTGCGTCGGCTGCTGCCGCAAAATCGTTTTTAATAAATTTTCTGGTTCAGTATCAAGATTAAACGTATTTTCAGACGAAACCCCGGAATCTATCTTACCCTGATAAATCGGTCGTTTGTGATGAAAACAAGATTTGTTATGCTTTCTACAGAGCATATGTAATAATTTCAATCAACAGTTTCCCTGTGTATATCAGATACGGGGTATAATTTTGACACTTTCCCGGAAACCCGATTAGAAGTTGACTCAGAGAGTAATTTTGTAATTGCTCCGCAGATGACAGAAGACAGTGATGTTAATACGAGATCTGTGGCATGATGTCCCACTTTCGCAGCAGCTTTTCCAAGCCCCTTGATGACATTGCCCAGAATCTAGCCCCGTTAGGAAAGTGAGAGGTCCTTTTCCCCTCCAAATGTTTCCAGGCATGCGAGGGGCGTTGAAAGAAAACAAAGGAACCCCAACTTACAAGCCCCCTTTCTCGATTCAGAATTCATGTCGTTATATGTCATTCTGGCTTTCATCACAAATGAGCAATTTTCTTGTAAGGCAATCCATGTTTGTCCGGATATTCGTCATAGCTTTGAGAATGATGTCTTTATTGGGTGTGCCACTCAATGGACTTCTCAACTCACTTGAATTATTTAATCCGAACCAGGCCTCTAGACAATTAAAGCTGCTTTTTCCGAATTGGAATGTTATTGCTTACGATTTTCACAAGGAATATAATTTTACCAGATGCACACGAACATAGATTTTAGAACGTATTCATTTATTTTTGTACCGTTGGCTAACAGAAATTCCCGTGTCAATACTTCGTTTGCATGAAGGAATGGGCAAATGAAAACTCTGAGTGTGAAATTCAGGAATTTCAGTTTATGAGTTGCCCACTAAATAACTGTTTGTTCTATACATTGTATCAAGAACCGAGTGAGATAAACTCGACACTTATAACATTTTAAGACAATAACATTTTAAGACGAAAAGGCAAGTTGTCCTTTGAAAAAAAAGTAGGATGCTTTATCTTACCCATATTCTAATACCAACATTTAACAGCTACTGTAGCGTGAAATTTTGTCTCCTGCAAGGTAATGTATTTTTTATATTTGTGTCAATGATCCGCAGCCACGATATAATTTTTTTTAAAGAAGATATTTGTCTCACGTTATTAACAGACGGGAAAATCAAAGGCTGCATAATTTTCGCTGTTTACCAGCATGATAATGTGACAGATAAGATTTTTTACGTTTTGAGCAAACTGAAATGCCTGGCGATGGCTTTCTAAATGCATTTGGTATTTTTTGCAGACAAACCAAAGGTGTCGAATCACTTCGGGGGGTCAGGGTTGGTTAGCAGACCCTCCGGGGATCACAAGGGATCCTAATTAGATCGCTCTAGTTCATCAAGCCCCATGGATCCGTGATTCCTTCGATTTTTGCTTCTCATTACGCAGACCCAACAAAACCTTCCTAATGAATACCGTATTTTTTTGCATTCGACACACTTTTCGACACACTTTTGAAACACCCCCGCATCAGTTCAATTGTCTGACCATCTCACAAAACTGCATGCGTCACGTTATTTTCCGAAAGTAAACATTTAAGCGAAGATGTCTCCAATATCATATCAAGGTTCTCTTGGTTGATCCAATTCATCAATCCGGAACAGACATAATCAAGAATTGTATTTTTAAGCTGGGTAAAAACCATCGCATAAGAATTTGATTCCATAGCGAAGATGTCTCCAATATCATATCAAGGTTCTCTTGGTTGATCCAATTCATCAATCCGGAACAGACATAATCAAGAATTGTATTTTTAAGCTGGGTAAAAACCATCGCATAAGAATTTGATTCCACTGTAATACAGGATAATGTTTCGGACTCATTTTACTGTATATACGGCCTTAACAAAGCATATTTGACCAATATCCCAAATTATTTGAGAAACAAAATTGACGATATTAGGTAGAATTCGTCAACTTTTCAACAAAAAAATACAAAATAAAAAATTAGAACAACACTTAGTAGAGCATGCATTTTTGCAGTACTGTAAATTTGGTTTATTCTTTCTAGATTATCAAGACACATAAATATAGTAATTCGTTCATTTTTCCAGTGCACCGCGTCTGAAGTTCGAACCCACGCAAAACATGAACAAAAATGTATTGATGCCGCTAGAAATTTTCACACAAAATATTACTTCCGGTAAAATATGTAAATCTTACTTATGATACATAATTCGCATAAGAATGATGCACGAAGATATCATAAAATGCACTACTGTACTTTTAAGAAATGAATTTCAAACAAAGGAATCCTAGGAATTCTTCAGGAACGATCATACTGATTCGGAAAACTCGTAGTACAAAACTATTTGGTTTCAGATTATACAGTACTTCATTGTTGACAAGTGTTTTCTTTTTAGTACTGGTCATAGTTTCACGCCGAGATGTCAATAAATCGGGCCCTTATCCTTGCATCTCGGTGCTACCCTTTCGACAGTGAACCTGGTGACTTCCAGCAGCGCAGAAAAACAAGTGCAAAAAAACGAAAGAACGAAGTCACGAACAAAAAACCACGAATACGCACAGGAATTCACTCGATTTTCTTCAAAATTCTGTAAATGAGAGATTGAGAACAAGAAGAAGTCGAGCATGCGTGTAATAACGGCAAGAATTTCAACCATCGCCTCGACATCGCTTGTCGCTGGATCGATGCTGCAACGCGCAATCACACGCAATAACAGATACTGCACTGCAAGGGCCCTTGTGGACCTTTTTGACCGTGTCTCGAGGAATTCAATGTGGGGTCAAGAGAACGCCGAGGACAACTAACTGAGCGTTGGATCTTCGAGCGTTGGACACCCGAGAACCCATCCCGGAAAACAGATCATCAAGCCTGTGAGAGTAAAGCAGTATTTGCACTGTGCAGTAAAACGATTTTTTTTCTGTTTGGGTCAAATAGGGGTCTTTACCCATATTATAGAAATGATATATAACAAAATTCTCTCTAGAGCGATTTTTCCTGGTCACTTGAATGCAGTTGTAAAGAGTCCACCTGCAAATTTTTCCTCAAGAAAGCTGGCAAATAAAATGGGTAGTGATATGTGAGGATTTATACACTTTTAGGATAAATCTAAATGTTTAAACATAGTTAATTATTGTTGAGGAATTAATCAACCCAACATAAAAATTGAACATAGCGCAGTGGAAGAAAAGGTGGGAAATAATAAGGCAGGGCAATCAGCTGGTTTGCGGTTGGGAATATGTAATTGAGGGGGTACCTTAATTACATATCCCTATTTTTGTCTGGTTTAATCACAGTCCACAATAAATCACAATCAAACACAATAAAAAGTAATGCATCAAAATAAATGCAGTAATGCAAAACACATCCAATAAAAACAATAATTTTTTTGCACACAAATTCAGGGTGCAATAATGCAATGCAACAATTCAATCAGACAAATTGTTTACTGTAAGAGCTAATTTTGAGGACTGATTATTGGGAGTGAAAGAGTGCTGGGGTTTTATGCAATTTAGCACAATGCTGCTGTCAGCTGACCTGACTGAAGCATTGGACGTTTTTCCTTGCCAGTGATTGGCAGACAAAATGTGCATCCCTGGGCCCGAGTTCTGGTTCCCCAACAATTATGTTAGAACTTGAAAGGGGTAGAGCATTCACATAGCTGGTTATAGCCATATACTCTGAAGAATTCATTTTGAGAGAAACGCGCAGATATGTGCTTCATAAATGGTAGATTTGAGAATCGACTCTTCTGTATACTGGTTACTGAGAGAT